CCGCCCAACAAAATAGTGGATTAGTCATTAAATATTCATCAATGACATTTAATATTTTGGCTTTCATTACTATACATGTTTATCTTTCTTCAGAGAAAATATTGACAAAATCAAAAATTTGAGTCGGGAACCACTGGTTGAGTTGACACAGAATTACCCTATTGGTCTTAAATGTGGAAAACAGTTAAAATAGTGAAGGAGCCATAATTCAGAAATGTAACCAACAGAAAGACAGAAAAAATAAATAAATAAAGAACTGGCTGAGATAATAGGCGAAGAACTGATGAGATGAGGAGGAGGAGAGATAGAGAGACAGAAGACAGGAGCAGAGAGTAAAAGCAGTGGGTCTGGAGGACAGAGCAACTGATGAGTGTAGACAAGTATAAAATGGATCTCGCTCGAGAAACGGAATTGCTTTCTAGAACTGAAGACAGCGAGCGATTGGGAGAGAATTGAATGAAACTTGCTTTAGAAAAGAATAAAATACAAGAAGCAGTGATTCATCTCTCTTAGAACAGCCTGAACTGTCTAAAGGGCCGAACACAAAATGTCCAGAAGCGCAACTGAGAGACAGAGAAAGTCCAATCTAAGCAGCACTACAGTCTATAAGAGTTAAAGGGTTCTGTAGTATGACCATTACAACAGTCTGAATGTGTCAGATTAAACACCATAAACAGAAGAATGAAGCACACAGTGCTAAATGTGAGTCTACAAATGGCACTTTATCTGAAAATAATTCCCCTGGATTCATCCAAACCTTGGTAAACACAAAAAGCAGAACCAGTACCAGTCGCCCCTACCTTCTTTGCAGTATTTCCCTCGGAAGCGTGTATGAGAGCAGTCGCAATAGACCTCGCCGAACTGGATGCTGCAGTATCCCCCGTTCAGGCAGGGGTTCTGCTTGACGCACAGATACTCCAGATCATTATGAATGCCGTTGCTGTTGAGTAGAGTGGGAGGCATCTCGCCAACCTTCAGATTAGAGATCAAGCCCATGAACGGAGGCTCGTATTTGACCGTGCTGGAGGTGAGCGCGGACAGACGCACGTCCGGAGGGATGCCCCCCACGAACAGGTCGCTGACGACCGCCATCTCCTTGCGCTTGGAACGCACCTCTGCCACTTTGGTTTCCCCGTCCACCATCAGCATGGTCTCACGGTAGTTACGGGTGAGCAGCACCATGTGCCAGCGGTCGTCGCTGACACGGGTCTCCATCTGGAGGGCGGCTGGCTCGGCGCAGTGGATGGCGAAGCGCAGCTGCAGGTGTCCGCCACCGATGAGCAGCTCCAGAAAGTCACAGTTCCCGCCGTCGTCCAGGTACAGAACCAGCGCCTTGCTCACGTTGGTCTTCAGACTAAAGCTGAGCTCCCCGATCGAGCCGGCCTCCCAGCGGGTGTAACGCGCCCACTGCCCCGGGGCCCCGCCGAACTCCAGGGCCCCGGCTGACAGAAAGAGTCTGCCTAACAGCATCGGCCACAGAGGCCAGAGAGGGGACCAACACCGTGACTTCATTTCACCCACCCTGATGATACAAGCTCAAAAACCTGCTCTCGGCAGAGGCTGAGAGAGCAGTCTCAGAGTGCAGAGTTTCTCTTTGACTTTGCCTGAGAGATGGGAACGAACGCAGAGAAGAGGGGCTGAATTCCCAGAGCTGCCGGATCAGCACAGGTACCTTCTGCCAGACGGTCCGTTGTTCACTCGTTTTCTCGCTCTTTCTTGGCCTGTCTCCACTTTATCCAGACTCTATCTGTAGTCTCTCCATTGGTCGGTGCAGGCAGGGGGTGATTAAGGATAGATGGGAATTGCTGTTTTTATCCCCAGCTTGGTTGCCAATTTAAGTTTTCTTTGAAAGGCTTCCAATTGAGATTTCAAAGCAATGTGATTCCTGGGACTGAGGTTTCCCTCAGGCTGATGTTTCTAATGGAGACGGAGAGGCGTGATGCAGCTATCTTGCGTCCTGTGGACCACAGGTGATGGTCATGGTTGAATCTTTATCTGCGATTCATTTGCCCATGTTCTTCCAAATTGTCTCGTCCTACATGAGGAATCATGGCAGGAACAGTCTACTGGCCTCCAGATTCCGGCATTCTCTGGGCCTACAAGACAAAAGGGAACATTTGATTAGCTACAGCAGCATACACAACCTTACTAAATACAACCAGACAGAGTTTTGAGAGGGATATTCATTGACAAATATCTGCGCAGACACTGAGATTTGAGGTTTGTGAGGTCGTCCACACCTCTGCACAGCAGAAACTGCCTGTGGTGTATCAGATCTGATCAGGCATTTCTGTTCAGTGTGAAAATGACCTGCTACATGCTAAATCACACAGTCAACGTCAGAAAGTTTGAAATGCTGACGTTTGTTGGGCTAGTGTGAACCAGATTTAGAACACAAAGCTCTGAGAAGAAAAAAAACACACAAGAGAACACACAAATGCTCGGCATGACCTGTATGGTGACAAATTCATTCTCAGTTAGTCAAGTCACCTTTATTTGTATAGCGCTTCATACAATACTGATTGTGTCAAAGCAGCTTTACTGAGTCAAACAGAAAAATAGTTTGTCAATAATGCAAGAGGACAATATCAGAGTCATTTTTCCAGTTAAAGGCAGTTCATCATTGATTCAGTGATGTCATCATCCAGCTCAGTTCAGTTTAAATCGTGTCTGCGCAATCAAGTCAATACTGCCAGAAATTAAGTGTTCCCAACTAAGCAAGCCAGAGGCGACAGCGGCAAGGAACCAAAACTCCATCAGTGACAGAATGGAGAAAAAACCTTGGGAGAAACCAGGCTCAGTCGGGGGCCAGTTCTCCTCTGGTCAGACCAAACCAGCAAGGCGTGGTTCCACATACTGTATCGTCTCTCATTACGCTGATGTATCTTAATGAAGATCTGTGTTGAACACTGATGTTTATATTACAGCGCTGCTCTAATCTCATCTTAAACAAAATGGAGTCACTGTCTGAAAAGGCTGATTGCTGCTCGACCCGTCGGCCTTCAATAAGATCTGCCCATTATTTCTGAAGAGAGAATTTAAATGCCAGCATGAAGCGCTCATTATTAAACACTCGTCTTCCTCCACCGGATCTCTCAGTTTAGCAGATCAGCCCTTCTTTGGGGTGAACAATTCCTCAAACATTAACTGCTTATGATCCTCCTCATCTGTAAGTCACTGTGAATAACAGCATCTGCCACATGAACAACTGTAAAATATAAAGGTTTATCTAACCTTTAAATTGGACCACTCCCATCCCTTTAACCACACCCCCTCTACCCCAAACCCCATTTCCCCAAGTCATTTCAGCCAATCGGATGTGCACAAATTGATTGACAGGCACAATATGCTGATCATATTCTTCAATCAGATATAAGTGGGTGTGATATTATTCTGAAAGATTGTGTCCTCAAATATCAGAGATCATGCACACAGCAGAGTTCAATGTGAATTTCAGCTAATAGATCCTAAAGTTTTCTTTTAGTGTAAAAATTAATTATAAATGCTGCAAACGGGTATGTTAATATTGAGCGACCACACTGAATAAATCTTGCAGAACACAGAGCCATGTTTAATGCCGAGCCATTTATTAAAGCGTCAGTGATTGTCAGATGATTATAATGAGCCTCTTCATGCGTATGAATATATAATGTCCACTTCAGAAACCGCAAAGCACTTATTCAATATCCACGTGCCCCGTGGGTCACACCACCGAGAGAGAGTGTGTGTGTGTGTGTGTGTGTGTGAGAGAGAGAGAGAGAGAGAGAGAGAGAGAGAGAGTGTGTGTGTGTGAGAGAGAGAGAGAGAGAGTGTGGGTGTGTGTGTGAGTGATTGAGTGTGTGTGTGAGAGAGAGTGTGTGGGTGTATGTGTGTGTGTGTGTGAGTGTTTGAGAGTTTGTGTGAGTGAGTGAGTGAGTGAGTGAGTGAGTGAGTGAGTGTGTGGGTGTGTGTGAGTGAGTGAGTGAGTGTGTGTCCACAGGAAACACTTTTTTTCACCGGTAATCTGCCAGACAGAAGCCATAGTGTTGTGTTGACATCTGACCCTTAACCCCGTTGTGCTGCATTTCTGCTGAATTATTCAGTTTTCCTTTTAATTTATGTAGTTTTGCACCATTTTATTTTTACGCCAGTTTAATTAGACACAGATGTGTTGGCCATATGTGCATCATTTTGTCATTACATATCTGATTTTGTGTCTGTCATACAGCATCATATAACAAGAAGCATAGTTTAGCAAATTGATGCTTATTAATTAACGTCATGTTTTGTGTGATTCTCGGCTGTGTGTCTGTCTGTAGTCACTCCTCTGTAAAACACACGAGAAGCAGCTGTAACACCACCGTGTCACTTCATTAGCTTTGTTTAAATATCACCTCATTAAAAATAAAACCTCCTAGAACAGGCATCTGGCGTGGCATTCACACAGTTAAAACTGACATGCATTTACACCGGCTAAACTCCCCAGAGATCTGAATGTTACACGTGCTGCATGTGTTAGAGCTGAACTCCGTCTGACTTCACGTCACTTCAAGTAGTGCTGGGCGGTATGACCAAAAATGTATATCACGGTATTTTTCAAAATTATACTATGAACTTTCACGCTTAGTAACACATACAGCTGTGCCCTCACCACAGTGCAACAGTGAAAACATAACAAAAATAAACACCGGTATTCGGTATGAACCGGTATACCGCCCAGCACTTATTTCAAGCCTGTTCGCTTCAGTGTCTATACAGTGACGTTCTCAATATATGCAGCTTTACAAAGAGCTGAGCCACACGCCTCCAGTGAGCAGCCAAAAGCTCTCTTCCTCCTCGGGCTGAAACAGAAACTCATCTGATCCAGACTAACACAGCAACACTGCTAAAGAACTACTCACTGCGCCTGACACGGTTTATGAGCTTCAGCAGATTCTGATTCATTCAAGTCTAATTTCACACATCATGAGAACACAAAGTGAACTGCTGCCATCCATTTAAACAGAGACAGTCTGGCAGAAATGGTTCTGAACAAGAATAAGATTGAAAGTGGACCAGAGAAATCTACTGTTCTGACTTTAAAATGCACAATTTTCCCCAGGGTGCCATGAAGCGGATTCCATGCGAGTCTGTGAGAGAGAACGAACACACACAGATCGTCAGCAAAGGGCAATTCAACCCAAACCGTCTGCATTAAATGATTCTGTATAACCTAGGGTGACCATACGTGCCATTTTCCCAGGACGCGTCCTGGCCAGGTTTTCTATATTGCCTAAAATATCGAAGTATTGGCTTTGTTTGCGTGTGCAGACGATCGGTGTATGACATCAAAATACCATACAGACGGTTCCTTACGCTTTCAAAATGCTCTCGAGGTATTTTGATGTCATACACTCGGCCAGGACGCGTCCTGGGAAAATGGCACGTATGGTCACCCTAGTATAACCAACTTAACTAAAGTGTCAGAAAGCAATTTGCCTCCCGCACACCAACAGCCTCAAATCTGCACCTTATTAGCGCGGCTGGACGCTGGTCTGAACCGGCTCTAATTCAGCTGCCGGGTCTCAGACGGACTGATCGATGAAAGACTGATGGGAAAATGGTGAGACCGGAAGTGCTAAAGGGAGCGGGAGAATGTGACTGATATGAGCGTGACTCTAACGAGCTTCAGCACACCAGCGGCCAATCGAATTAATGACGTGTGCCAATTAATTAATCAATTAAACCACATATAGAGAAAAGCACTCTAGTGGAAGCCTTTCAAAGACATTATCGTGGCACATGAGTAAATGAGTTGCATTGTCTATATAGAGTGAGCTTCTCATTATTGATCACCAGTCAATCAATGACCTTCAGTCTGCAGTGATCAGATCAATATGTCAGAGGTTTGGTGTTCAGTCTGTTTTTACATTAATAGCATGTGTCACTGTTAAACAGTCGAGTGTAGAGACTCTACTCAAGTCAAATTGATTTGTAAAGCTCTTTTCACACATTTTCAAAGCAGCTTTACAAAAAATCATGATGTTAATTTCTTCCTGTCTTATGGGCACATTTAGCTGGGTGATAATATGGTTTATATTTTGTGACAATATAGAAGCAATCAAGCGGTTGAGATTTGCTATGAAGTGTATATTGCTCTATATACTGTGTGTAATGTGGATAAACCTGGACACGCTTATATATTCAATTCAGCTTCACATCTAGAGCTGAGATAACACGGTTTGGCTGCAGTGAGCGAGAGAGACGCAGACAGCAGCATTAGTGTGACCGCATCAGCTGCTGCTCCTCACACACACTGACAGATTGCATTCTGGGAGCTGAAGTCACACGGCGCCTGGAAGCAAAGGTGTGTTGTGCCTGTTCTCTTCCTCTGATCCTTGTGCAACTGAGTGACATTTAAACAGAGGACAGGCGCGCTGCACTAGAGCTCCACACGCATTCCAGATGTGTTGCATGTTGTCACAAAATATTAACGTGTGTTAAATGAGCTGCTCCTCTTCCCTGGATCATTTCTATAACCCTGTCTGATGGGAAGCAATGAACTCCACAGAGAGAAAGAAAGCGATGACGTGATGATCAGAGCTGCGCTCCACTTCTGATTTGAATGCGCTTTCCTCGCTAACTTCCTCCCACCAGATGAAAAATAACAACAATACAATTAACTCTGACTGTGTAAAAACTCATCTTAAGGTAGCTGCAAGTATTATGTGGTTAATCTCCAACACTAGCACCCATCACGCACTAGAGCTGTGTTGGTGTAAGTGAAGCGTGATCTGCTGTGACGTCACAATCGTGTTGCATTGTGGGATATGGAGATGCCTGGAGTGTACAGATGAGTGGACTCGCTCCCTCCGAGACTGCCCTTTCTGCAGTTCTGCAGTGTTAGGAAGGTAAAGGGAACACAATACATCAATAATGTCTCTCAAGTAAATGTCTAAGGAGAACACATTTTGAAAATACCACTTCCATCACTTTTTGATTATCTTTTGTATCTTGATTTAAGGATACTTCATGTAAAATCTAAGACTTCTGCTCTGATTTAAGACCCACGGAAACCCTGTTTTATATATATATATATTTCTATATTTAAAATTCTTTAAATATAATTAGTACAATA